TCAACTATAGTGGTTTATATTCCTGCCTTTTTGGTATCGAGTCTTTTTTGTTTCGGGCATGGGGGACCTCCCAAAGCCAAGGGAAAGAATTGACAAGATTGTGAAGTGGGCCGTCGCCAACAAGCTCACCCGGTTTCATGGCCTCAAACATTGTGTTGCGTGCAGCTTTGTCTTCATGGACTAGAGCTATATATGCATGAAGTTTGGCTTCAAGAATCTAAGGAAGTGTGAGTATGATGAGTCGACCTACGAGTACTGGGTCAATACGCGCACGGAGGGTTCTTTGAAACGAGAAGATGTTGAACGTCTCTCCAGAAAGCGTGAGTTTGAGCAAGAGGCTGATGCTCAGGATTGCATGCCCTCTATGGATTTCAGCGTTGGAGGCTTCATGGATGACTTGGGTACTCCGGGGGGCTTGCAACTGGAGGGCGATGCAAACAAAAGTGTCGCACGCACGCATGCAGTCTTAACTTGCATGTATGGATGCATTGTCACACAAAAACGCAACACTTTGGAAACATCAACTTTGAGCAACTTGGGACCTGTTTTTCGATTGCATGTTGTACACCTAAGGCTCCAGCCAGGCTCCCTGATATGTTGAAAGGGACTTTACAGGGAATGAACAAGCTGACCAACCTCCTTGACAAGATCCAAGACTATTCTGACAAGTCATGTCAAGCGAACCTGGTCTTTCAATGATCGTATGCCACCCACAACCCCCAGCCCAAAAATTCATAACATCGAGCTGCAAGTCTCCACTGCGTTCACCTGCTTTCTTGTCGTTGCGCCTGTTCTCCATTGATTCACCTTGGCTCGGCAAAGGACGGTCGCGAAGATGATTGCCATCCGCAAATCCCTGGAGGACGCGTACGAATTGATGACCGAAGTCCAGGCTGAAGGTGAGAGCGCTGGACAATACACCAATGAGTGTTTTGTTTGCAAAACTGTTGGTTTCCATTTGGTTTCCTTACTTTGACATTAGGTATATCAAGATGGTCAAGGTGTTCTTGGAACATCCAAACAGCATGGCCTCCCAACAAGGCAATGCAAACAGTTGGAGTTGCACTACAAGACCGCTCAAAGAGAGAAACTCGCCTTGACTGCATTTTTGCATGCCCTTATATATATATATATACGTGCAACCTGAAACGACCATGTTATAAACAGATGCTTGGTAAAGTGCCTGCCGCCAAGGATGACGAAGGCCACCAGCATTGAAAATGCAGCCAAGTCGAGTCCTGAGTATCTGCGCTGTTCATAGCTCAACCCAGCAGTTGCTCAAACTTCGGGGTGACTTTGGGGACGATGTTTATGCTCAGGCTTTATGTCGCGAAGGCCAAGAAGGCGAAGGTGAAGCATGAGGAGTGATTCTTTACCGTTTCAGCTGAAGTTTCAAAGTAAGCTGTTCCAACATGGTGATATGATGATCACCTATCTGTAGTGGCATGTGGCCTACTGGGTCTAACAACTTGGGAACGGTGTTTATGAACACCCTAGAACCTGAGTTGCTTTTGGGGATGTGGCTATGTCACTCGCAATGCTAGCGGAACAGAAAAGGTAAAGCGGTTCGATCTGCAAGCTTCAGCGGTGTCAACCTGACCCTCAGCTCCTTTGCATCATGCCGTATACACCAAATCACCAAACAGTTGAGATATCAGCGTGCGCAATTGCCAGGTCAGCGTCCCTTGGAGCTGAGCGACTCAGTCAAGCACATCGCAAAGAACTACAGTCGTGGAGCCCCGCGCCTGCATTTGCTCGCTCGATCAATTCGGCTCATGCATTTCAGACTTTTCAAGACTCTGATGCCTCAAGCCTCAAGTGGCAAACCTTTGGGAGATAGTGGCCTGGATGCTAAAAACATACTTCATTAGCCTCATTTGCCCGTGTGCCCTAGGTTCCTGCCATCGACTGCATTGAGGAAGCTACGGCAGCTTCCAAATGTGACCCGTGCCCCGTTCTGAATCGCATTGCTTCGATACGCATCAACGATGCTGACACCCCCCTGTTCAAGACGCTGCTGAAATGTGGGCAAGCGTTGGACATCCCCATACACAATCTGAAGTTGGGTGACAACGACTTCACTTACCCAGTGCTTTTACCAAAAGATGTCCTCTCGTCAATTGCAAAGAGAGGCTACATTCAGAAGGTTTTGGGCGTGCCACTCCAACGCGCCTCTGAGACATTGAGGGGGTTTTGGCAAAAGTACCGACTGTCTTACCCAAACCATGAGATCTTCCACAGTGGTCTTGCAAATGAAGACTTTGCCAACTTGGTCCCGTACTACTTGCACGGTGATGGAGGAAGGACATACAAGAAAGAGAGCATTCTCATATGCAGCATGTACCCAGCTTTGGGGATGGGCAGCGCTAAACATCCTGTCCCTGATACGCAACCATCTGGAAGCGCCCCTCCAAACCGGAAGAGGCCTCGAGGAATGGAAGCTGCCGCCATGGGCGAAGATGAGGTTGCCATGGGCATCAATCTTTTAGGAAATTCGCTTGGGAATCGTTTCTTGTTTGCTGCGTTGCACAACAACTACATCAAGAATGACAAGTCCATTTTCTATGACTTGATGGATGCCTGGGGAAAAAACATGCACGCCTTGTTCAATGATGGATTGATGTGCAGTGGTCGTACATTCAGATTTGCTGTGTTGGGTATGGTGGGGGACGCGCCATTTATACGTGATGCTGGTTTGATGAACCGCTCATTCAACAATATTCGCAAGTCTGCTCGTGCTGAGACCCTTCTGCCAGGGGTGTGTCATTTGTGTGCTGCTGGAAAGACCCATGGACCTCCTTATGAGCACTTGGACATTTTGTCTGCTCAGTGGGTGTCCACAACCGGCATCCACAACTTTCTGCCCTGGAACGAACCCCCTCCTTTGCTTGCTCACATTGCAGCTGAACAGCAGAACCTTGCAAACTTTTTCAAGGGCGACTTGTTTCATATTTGGTACAGTGGGCTGGGAAAGGACTTCTGCGGAAGCTCATTGGTGTTCATGTTGAAGGGTGTCATGAAAAAGAAGTCCAAAAGTGAGTCCATGTCGTTCTTGAATGAAGAGCTGCGGCGGTGGCAACACATTAGCAAATCTTCCGTTCACTTTGGGAAATTTACATGGGACTTGCTTGACTATGATGGACCCCGCAACTACCCCAAGGGGAAGTGGAGCAAGGGGATGGACACCGGGAAGGTTACAAAATTTATAGAGTTTCTTTTGTCGGAGATCCTCGTTGAGAATCAGGGTGGCGTCGATCGGCCCATGTTGGTCTTGATACAGGACGCATGCAAGTCTATTGGGGCATTTTTGAGGACTCTTTTCAAAGCAGGTTTCTTTTTGACAGGGGATGAAGCTCATCAAGCAATCAGTGCGGGGAATGCTTTCTTACTGAGCTATGAGAAGCTTGCCAAAATGGCATTTTCTTTGAAGAAGGCATTGTATAAGCTCAAGCCGAAGGCACACGCCTTTGCGCATCTGGTGCTGGAGATGCTGACGCAGCACAGACATGACCGGACGTCAGTCTTGAACTGCGTAGCTTTTTCCACATTCATGTGCGAGGACTTCGTAGGACACGTCGCTCGCTTATCCCGGCGTGTGTCACCAAAGGTTCAAGGGAGGAAGGTTATTTTCAGGTATCTTGTTGCTCTACAAAGGGCTTTGTTGCAAGAGACTTGAGTTTGGAGCACAAGGAAAAGGCCGGGGGCATCCAGGAGTTCAGTTCAGGGGTTATCACCCTAGGATTCATCATGAGTCTAACTTTCACAATTTCGGATGTTTTGCGAAACGCCTGTTTCTGAAACAGGAATTGGAGGTCGACCGTTTATAAATGCATGTTGTGGGCCCAGGTATAGGTTGCAGGAGCTGGTGACTGGCAGCTTGAATGAACAGTTCGTTTTCGTAGGTTGTGGGCAGTAGGCGTCATAGCTGGCAAACCTGTCTCGAATTTGTCTGCAAACAGGTGGGGCAAAGTGCGGAGGTATACGTAACAATCTTCCATCGGAGGCTCAACCGCAAGACTAGCGGAAAATGCAATAGCCCAAAAGGGCGCGTGACAATCAAGGTTGCTTTCCCTTTGTTGCTGCGGGTAGTCCAAGTAGAGTGCAACACCTTTCTTTGAGACAATCACCTCTGTGCTGCTGTGCGAAGCGTCTCTCCGTCCCCTATTTCATCTTTCCGAATTTCAACCCAATTCTTTCTCTTGTTCCCGCCGCCCTTGTTATTTCCCCCTTCGGGTCTGCAGGACAGCCACAACAGCTCCAGAAGAGTCGCACTCGGCAATCTGACACAAACTCTGTTGTTCTGACCGAAGGTCATCCGCTGGTTGGTCCACAGCTTCTACATGACCTGGCTTTCTACGGCAAAACATAGGAAAAAGCCGCTCAGAGATCCCTGTATATATATAGATAAACTGCTAGCACAAAGAGGGCTGAAGAAAAGAAATCCCAAGCTTGGTTCAGGCCAAGCATCCAACCAAGCAAGAAAAGGACACAAACACGACTCGAATTTAGAGTTGACTCTGTCCGCGATGCTAAAAAGCTTGAATCAGAGTTCGACCAATTTTGAATACGAAAGCAAGCTGCTGAAATCCAAATGAAAGCTGAATTGTTAACACTACAATGCCCCAGGCGTGCAATTGAATTCAAGATCAAGAAATCTTCACACATGAAAAAGAACCGGATAAGTTTGGATTCAACTGAAAGTGGGAAGTGTATTACCACAAAGACTTGCAACTAGATTCTAGAGTGTTGCAGAAGGACACAGTCAGGTACCTGGACAGAGCTCAAATCCAAATTCAAGACTATTGAAATCTGGTTTCCAGTCGTTTTCATGTATGTATATATATATATTAATATATGGTATAAAGATGTGAATGTCTAGTTCTTCCACCTACACAGAAAAGACCTCTGGTCCGATCCAAACATCTTGATGACAAAGACCTGCCGGATGCTGAAGCCGATGAACCTCGGTCGGTCCATGGAGGTTGACCATCGGCCCCGTCCTCGCCGAGCTCCAGCGGCGGATCGGCGCACCACAGCAGCGCGGCCTGGCGAAACTTCGGATCTGCGAGGAAAGCAAAGAAGGTAAATCATAAATAGGTTGACCCTAAAGGGTTGACAGAAAAGATCTCTAACGGATATAAAAGGTTGAACTTTTGAGCATCACGAGCTGATTGCTGCGTGTCATGGGTTGAATGCACAGAATTGACACCTGCAGCTGGATGTTCGCTGTCCTGTATCTGCTAGGACACCAGAAAGGCCTTCCACGCTCTCCGAGGCCCATACCAGATCACCACTTTGGTCTTTCTGAGACAAATGCGAGAGGCTCTTCCATCAATGGTCCCTCATCATGGTTTGTTCCAAACCTTCAAGCTTCCTGGAAGGGACCCGACATGCCCAGTGACTTCGCCTGCAGCTGCCCCTCCAATTGGGCCGCTGCGTGACTCCCTGGCTCCAGCAAAAGCCTCAGTCGAACGAGGCAAATCCATCGAAGCTCGGATGTGTGATCCTGCTGTGTGATTGATCATGTTCACCTAGGATCACATGGGATTTTGCAAACAGGGAGAGGGTGGGGGGTCGGACACCTATGCACAAAAGACCCTGCAGCAAACCTGGCCAATGGTGGAATTCATACATTCGTATGTACTGTATAATACTTATATGATCTTATATGACTATAATTTAGCTATCTGAATCTATATGTCAGGAGGTGATGGATTCTTTCCAACAGTCTCGCCTCACCCGAGAAACAACGAGGACCCGTACTTCTCTTCGCACCGGCTCCGAGCAACGTCGCCGCCGTGGGCTTCGCAGCTCTGCGCAGCGAACGCTCGAGTTCCGCCGTCGCGTCGGGGAAGCTGCGCGAGGCGAGGAAGCTGCTGAGGCCTCGTTCGATCTGGTCTTTGGAACGAACTTTGGAACGAACTGAGGCCTCGTTCAGGGGTGTTCTGCACGCTGGAAGTGCCCGGAGCGGTTTCTCGGAGTTGGTTGGGCTGGTTGAAGCCAGAAACTCGTGCCACCGGACCTTGCACCCCCATGGACCCTGACCTTTTGTGGATACAGCAAAAACCTTTGGGTAGTTATTCTAGTGCCTTCTATGATTTGTAGGGGCTATAGAGTTTGCCACCCCTCCCTCCAAAGAAAATGACAATGTCCCTGCCAAGTTCTAAGCTGCTCCAGCACCAGTGGAGCGTTGCAAGACCGGTTATGTTTTTCGCCCCTTCCCAAGAACAGCAGACAGAACAGGGTGCTGAGGATTGTTTAAAGAAAGTCTGACGGTGTTTCAATGACAACACTCCAACACCGCATACGGATGAGGCTCTCTTGATGGCCGCATCTGGACTCTTGGGCACATCCGCCTCCATGCTGCGTCCCAGCATCAGCTGCCTTGATTTGCATCATGGCGCCAGGAAAACGGGAATTCTCGACAGGAAATTTGGGTGCAGGGAACATGGACTTGTCATGCTTGTCCTGTTGATTTTCCAGTATAGAACCCTGACAGCAAAAATCATCCTTCTCATATCTTCCCAATGAATCCTGTCGGGTGGAACCCTTCGTTGCCCAAACAGATCAAGGCGATAGGCCGAATCAAACGTCCAATCGATCCATTTGGAGCTCCTCACCTCGGCAAAAAGGGCTCTTCACCCGTCCACGACCTCATCGGCCCTAGAACGACCCGTCCATGGCGAGTCGTCTTGGGGGCGAGCGAAGGCCCCCTGATCTGGGCGTTCGAAGCACCTGTAGTTGCTGCTTTCGAAGCTCCGGCCATAGACCTCAGTCCAATTCAGATGGAAGTGCTCGTTTCGTCCCGTGAAGGAGTGAGTGAGTTTTCAGGATCTGGGTGAAGAATGGTGAAAACCTCTCTCTTTGTGTGCCTAAATTGCTGCCAAAATTGCTGTCATCATTCATGATGGATGGATGGATGGATGGATGGATGGATGGATGGATAACTGAATAACTGGATAACTGGATGGAATCGTCCAAGACATGCTTCTATAGGCCTAAGCCCTAGGCAAAGCTACGGGACAATCCTTCTGGTCGGATGGCTTTAGTGTCGTTTCCGAGTCAAACATGTTTCCCCAAATCGCTCCGAAAGCTACGTCGCCCTTGAAGAAACAGCGAGATATTGCAAATACCACATGGTCAGCTTGCAGATTGCAAGTTGTCTAATACAAGAAGTGAATCTTGGTCAAGTGAGGGGAGCCCCGACAAACAGGCTACACTCGCGGAACTAGCATGGACCCTGAGGATGGCACCCTGAAAGACTGCTTTCCTCTACGAACGAGTGGTTTTCAGGGTCCATGTTAGTCTTCAGGAGGGTACATCCAGACCCTCAAAGGTCAAAAGAACGGACCCGACTTCCTCACCCTCTTCACATCTCCAAGTTGTTTCTCGGCCGCACGGCCTAGATGTTCCAGAATGGGTCCATCTGCGAAAAGCCCCAAGCCTCCCGGTCATTCAGGTCATCCAAGGCTCTACCACGGCGTCGCCCGCCTGGACCAGTTCCAAAAGAATGAAACAAGTTCCGCTTGGTTGAGGGATCAAAGCTTGGCTTGGTTGGATGGTATGTGAAGGCTTCTTCACATCAGGTACAACATGTCCCGGTCAGCATCACATGAAATTGAAGATAGGTCAGATAGGTCTGCACACTCTGCACTGTAGTCAAAGTGATGTTCTTTCGTGGCCCTTATTGATTTCATGCTGGGCTCCTACCATCTCCTATCTGTATTCAGGGTGCGACACAGGCATCGGATGTCTCGTTTTGGGTCGTGATCGCAGCTCACATCCATCTCTTCTGCACGGGATGTCCCTCCCAGTGGGGATCACAGAAAAGTAAACGTCAAAACCAACCCATCAGTCATCAGTTGATAGATTCTGTAGAGTTGTTCAAAGTGTGGAGACACTTCAACAGCGGGGTCGGGGTGTGCTTTCCCTTGCCATGTTAGAACTTCAAACAAAACAACGACAGGGTGCATCTGCGTCCATTAGACAGGTCCATCCATGTACGGATGGAATTCGGGAACCAAGAATCAGAGAGGGGAGCCAAAGAATAGGAAAGTCTTCCTGAGTTCCATGGGTCATCATATTTTACACGACCACACAAAGCCCTGGGACTTAGAGCAACCAAAAATATTCATAGGAAGATCGTCTTCAAAGGGCCCACAGAGTCTATGTTCAGGCTTCATCTTGAAAAAACGACCCTGGGACTTGAATCAGCACATCCACCCCCAAATCAGAAGTTCTGGGAGGGTCTTGATCATTGGGAAGGGATGTCCATTGGGAAAATCAAAGAACATTGACCTTCTCAACAATCATGTTCCTCTATGTGAAAGATCATTTAATGTCAGGTCGAATACTCATGACCCAAATGCTCCTCTACGACCGGGCTGGAGTGGCCAACCGCGTCTGGCCACCGCACGTCATCGCTGTCTCGTGCCTCGGTGTCCCCCGCCATCTCACGCCGCCGCAAGGTCATGGCCACACGGCGGCAGGGCAGCAGGCGTAGGTCCTGCGCGCCTGCCGCGGTCCGGCGGAAGCCAAAAATCGGCCACACGTCCATGGATCGATCGAATTCCCTGCTTGAGATACCGTACTGCCGTACTGCCTAAAACCAAAGGAACTACCAACGGATTGAACATATGATCGACCGTTAAACTCTAAGTCTGGTTTCACAAAAGCACCATGAAGTAAGCTTGGTACAACAAAGGAAGCTGGTGAATGAATCACCTAAGCATACCTGAACTCTTTTGAAGCCAGGCGTCTGTGGGGTCTAAGTCCACCAAATATGCCTGAAGTTTGGGGCCGGAAGAAGGAAACACCTATTGCAGCATGCAGTTTGGGTGTGTTCAACTTGTGAATGGATGCGCACCGGCCCAGTGATGCCCAGAATGGAGTCACACACCCCACGCCTCACTGCCCTCACTGCAAACCAACACGCCTCGGGGCCAGTTGCGCCAGCGGGCGCCCGTCGGAGCGGCACCGTTCCATGCGTCGCCCAGAATGGTGGCGGAGGTGACCGAGGCCTGGGGGATGGATCACCGTTCTCACCGGTCTCGACCATGGAAAACATGGGAACGACCTGGTGTTGCAGTGTCCTTAGTGATGTACAAAACCGTGATAGTTTGGTAAAGCCAATTATATAGATATTCTAACATATTATATGATATTATAGATGATTGGTGGTTGGAATCCTGAGGGATAGGATTGCTGACTCTATATATTAAAGTTAGAAAATGCTAAAAAGTATCTTCATCCAATCCTACCCAAAAGATCGCCCGGAAGTAAACTCGAACATTCCGATGAATGAAGAGCTGTTCCGATCATCGTGACCCTTACAGCCTGCCATACCCAGCATAGAGGTCCAACTAATCCGGATCAGTCACTCATACCCAGCAAGGACGTTACGAATGGAGCTCATTCGTTGCTTCTCCACCCGCCTCACCGTCCATCTCCACCAGCAGGCTTCGCCCGTCCACCAGCGCGCACGCCAGCACGGCGGATCCAGGGGATCCTTCAGACCGCTCAAAGCGGAAGCGATGCACGGGGCAGTCCTCCAACCTGAGCTGGCTGGGGCCCTTCGATGGTGAAAGATGGGCTGGCCCTTTGGATGGTTGGGCACATACGACTTGTAACTTCTGGTAATTATACTGGGTAAAAAGTAAAAAGGTCGAAGCAAGCAAACGCCACATGTTCATCAGGGCTGCATGTCGAAACCCGAGCACTGTATCTATTTGGGGCTGCCACTTTTATCGTCAAGAAAGAGCTTTGGACAGCCACACTGGCCATATGATAAAGACTGGTTTTTTGACCGAGTCGACCGGGTGTTGGACAGCGCTTCAATCTCACGAACAGCAGATGGATGAACAGGCAACCCCCCGGAGGGACTTCGCTGGATGATGGTTTCTCGCCGGCCCGATGTCACACACAAAAGGATCCAGAAGGTCTTTTTCGATCGCGGCCGTCGCCTTTGGACCCCGCTGGGCGCCGCACCAGGCGCGCACCAGGCGAACCCGCAGCATGCAGGGTATCACTGTCGACACCCAAGATAAAGATACAGCTAACCCAAGTTCTCAGAGCGCAAGTGGCTTTGACTTCAGAGCTGTCTTCAGCTGCCTTCGCTTGCTGTGGCAGGTCCTGTTGTGTCAGTCAACAGTCGTGCCACCTCTTCCCGCCCAGTCTCTGACGTTCCAGCGGGTTTTCCTCTCTTCGTCCTGCAAGGCATCAAACTTTCGGTCCTTGACCAACTATATATATATATATACGTGGTGATTTCGGCGACTGATCCATATTAATTAGGTTTCATGAGTGAACCCGGATCAACGAATATCAACGAATCAACCCTTACCAAAATTTACCCGGTTCCAAACTGACAGTCAGGTGACCAGGCCCTCCTGTGGCTCTGAGTTGCCAGCTGTAGAGCTGTCGCGCCATCCTGAGTGACTTTCTCTTTCTCCGCACCCGCAGCCAGTAAAAGTCGAAGCACCTCTGGGTGACCCTTCTCAGCGGCGAGGTGCAAGGGGTTTTCCCATCTCGACTTCTGGCCTGGTCCTGGAAGTCTCATGGCTGTTCAAAGACGTTGATTTTTTCCCTGTCAGTGTGGGTAGGAACATGCGGCTTCGCAAAGAATTCTGAGGTATGTATAGACCTTGAGTGGGCTTGTGAGTGATGTAGTCTATTGTTAATCCAAACTCAATTGGATGCACTGGCCAATCCAATGCTAAAAGCCGCAACAGCCACAAGAAGCCACCAAAAGGTATACAGGCGGCAAAAGGCAAAAGAAAAGAGCCAGAACCAACCAGATATTACCGACCGCGAAAGTGGAGCCCTGTAAGACTATTCTCATGTACGTTCTACCACCCAATGATTTTCAGGGTCCATCTTAATCTTCAGGAGGTACAACTGCTCCAAAATCCCTGGTCCTTCTCAGCCTTCATCTCCAACAAGAGTGCCACCACTTCAGGATGACCATGATCAGCTGCCAAGTGCAGCGCAGTTTCGTGCTGTTTCAACGTGACCAAGTGTAGGTCACAAGCCGCCTCCAACAGGAGACGTACCACTCCGACGTGGCCTCTCTGAGCTGCCAAATGCAAAGCTGTCAGACCTGCCAAGCGTAAGATGGACGAAAAAGGTCCAAGCGAAACCAGGAGCTTTGTGGGGGCTTTGGCCTTTTTGGCCTTTTGGCCGAGCCTCTCCATTTGACAACAGATCTACTAAAAACACATCCGAACAGTGGGGTGCAAACATCACCACCTAAGATAGCTTCATCCTTCTCTGCATCCGCTTCCAGGAGCAAACGAATGCATTGCCAATGCCCATTGCGTGCCGCCGCATGTAAGGCGGGTCGGCCCAGTTGATCTCGAAAAGAAGTCGGAGACAGAGGCGTGCACAATAGGGCTTCCACCTCCTCCCAGCAATTCTTGTCGCATGCAGAAACCAGCTGGTCGCTTTGCCTGGTTTCAGCACCAAGAAGGAAAGAAAGACGCTCAAGCCAAGACAATAAAAGGACAAAGATCTCTTGCAAAGATCTCTTGAGGCAGAATTTGACAACCAAAACCCTCGCACGTCGAATTCATGAAGACCTCGCAACACTGGGCCACTCTGTGCAATCACCCTCACAGGCTCTACAGATCTGGCAAATCGCTGAACCAGCGGGACCCATACTCTCAAATACCGTCAATATCCATGTCATATATCTAAATAATCTGTATAACATATATGTCTTCCTTTATATCCCTGAGAATCCTTGGGCCCTCCATGGCATCTCCATAGCAGGCCTCAAAACCATTCCCATTTGAGGGCCAGGATTCTCAGGGTATGTGTATAATGTGTATATATATATATATATACGTGTGTGTGTGTGTGTGTTGAAATGTGTTGAAACCAAAAACATCTTGAGCACTCCCAGGTGTCTCAGCTGCTTCAACGAACTCCAGGATGACCAGCTGTACATTCAGCACCGGAACGTTCTGTGCGGAGAAATCCAGCATGGCATCATCTGGCAACTCACTGTGGTCCTCGCCCAGCCATCTCCTTGGATGAGGAGAGACAAACATCAATGAGGAGAGACAAACATCAATTATACAGAATTGATCAGAATTGTACCCCAGGCATCCCTGCCAAGAACTTGTCTGAGAGCTTACAAAGGGATGATCTTTGAGGGGATCTCCGTTCTTCACTTCAAGTCCAACTTCTGAACCCTCCGCTTGAAACTCCTGGTTGTCACAGCACCAAAGGAACCAGTTTGTCGGACAGTGATGTCAAACAGAGTCTTCAGCCGCGAATCCAAAGGTTATATCTGTATCTATGCGTATTGTACAGCACTAACAAGTACTAGTATATGGTGATTATGATGTGTATATATATATTATACATATTACTAATCATAATATTACATATGTTATCCACAAAAGAAGCATGGGCGGACCCAAATCTGTGCTTAGTACCTTGTTTCTCTCAGAGGATACATCCGGTGTGCTCGGTGTGCGATGCCCAGTCAATGGGACTATAGATGTCCCACGCACTAGATGTCCCCCGAGTCCTGGGAATGACTGATGAAAAAATGTCCTGTCTTAACACCTCAGGCGCACGACATCCCAAACTTTGGCACTATCTGAATTTACGTCACAAGAACATGATCTAGCCCAGGTGCAAGCCCTCTGGTGTTCCACGCAAAAAATGTAAAAAAAAAATAGAACTACTATATGTCATATGGGTGTGTAGTGAAACAGGGAAAGCCCCTTCTCTAGGTGTTGGTCTTTTTGATCCTTTTGCCAGGGGGTCGAACTGTGGATCAATATACAGTACTTCCATTCTCTGGGTCTCCTTTTCCTCACTCTCGCCAGGCTTCTGCCGGAAGCGCGAGACGCCCAGTTGCTTCGCCAGCCGCGCCTTCAGTCGACGCACCTGGTGCTCTGCCTCGCTCGCCTCGACGTCCAAGGAGGCCAAGGCTTCGCCAGACACCGCAGAGAACACGCAAAGCATGGCTCAGCTGCTGTCACCGGTGAGAACGAAACATAGGCACTGGGCTTGGGAGCGGTGTAAGTGAGGCAAGCTCCAAGCAGGTGACTGACATTGTGACTGGATTGACTCCACAACGGAGAATTCAGTAGTAGGTTTGACTGTGCAATCCCTGCAGTCTATGCCTAGGCTAGCTTGTTAAATATGTGGCTACCCTAGCAAGGAAAAGCTTGGGAGTTGTTTGCTGGTCATTCAGTGTGTCTCCTTCGTTGGACCTGTCAGAGCTCGACACTAAGATTATATGAGTGAGGCACCTTCTCTTCGGCATCTGTTGGACCTCATAAGGACCTGCAGACAGGCGCAAACATGTAACATCAAATGTTTCTTCTGCAGTTCCTAAAAGTCTCTGAGCAGTTATCTTTATTCTGATTCTCCAAACTAACTATACCTTTCTATACCTGTCCATACCTTTCCCAAGTCCTGATCTTTCCCCCCACATCTCGCAACATCAGCAGAAGTCCACATCCCGATAGCCTTAAACCACTCAACACCCAGCCTATGGCAACAGTCCCGGTGCACGAGGGATGGTTGAAATTATCCAGCGATGGGAGGGATGGAGCTTACCAAACCCTCGTGTGGGGATGGTGCTGAATTTGTTCCAGTCACCTTCAAGCCAAATTTTGCCAAGAAAAAGTCTAAAGTTCCAGTTCTAAAATCCCAGTCAGAACTACTACCAGTACCAAACAACCCACAACAACGCAACTGCTAGAAATGTCCCTTGCGTCTTCACGCAAGTTTCTTGCACCACATCCCCACGTCGACTTCCCGTCCATGCCACAGCTTCAGCTCTCGAACCGGCATGTCCGTCTCGACGTCCCAGAGGAGCACCCTGCTGCGCTTCAAATGGCCCACCATCGGCCCTAAGGCGTGGGCCACCGACAGCAGCCACCGTCGGTGGCCGCCTCGGTGGGTGGAAAGCGGGTGTGTTGAAAGCGGGCAGAAGGAGAGGTGAGGGGTGAGATACAGAGAGTGTATCGTGCTTGCTGGATTGGACATGAAGTTGGAAAGTATGGGTGCGCAAATGGTTTGTAGACAAGCCTCCCCTCTACTTCAAAGGTTCTGACCCACAGGCAAAAATGCCACAGGCCACAGGGTCTACGCTACGACCCTGTTCCCGGGGCGTGCAATACGACCAAGTCCCCGGATGTTTGCAACTCGGTGCTTTGAAGGGAAGATGGTGATGATTCGAGTTTAATGCAAACGACTGATGAAAATCATTTGGGAAAGGCACCGCCACCACAAGTTCAGGTCTCAGAGGGATGAAAAAAGGGTGTCTTCCATGAACAATGTCAACATGATCGGCATGTCAAGAGCGGAGTCACCCAAGATTGCAAGATACCCACACCGAAGGGTGGTTTTTTCACCGAGGACACCATATGACTGACTCACTGAAGACAAATGTTTTTGTTTGGTCTTCAGGAAGGTTGAGCAAAAGAGACGCTTCCTATTCCCTTCTCCTGCAAAAGAGCCGCTTCTTCCTGGCGATCCCTGAACCCCTTCGATCCCGGTTGGGACGTTGACCCTACATGGTTCTTGTTTTCCCACCCTGCTCACCTAGTTGCCCAATGCGGGCGACCAGCCATGCACTGTGATGGCACAGCCCTGGAGTCGATCGTGGAGATGGACGGCGAGATCGGGAATTGGATGGGATTTGGAGTTGGACTGGAAAAAATAAGATGTAGGCGTGCACTTTGGATTGCTAATTGATTAGAGAAATCGTCAGCGGTCGCTGGTTTGGGATGCCGCATGCCCAAATGTAGGTTCACAATGTCTTCCAACTCCCGTCAGAAGGCCCAATTCATGGTTCAATCTGTTTGGGGAGCTCGGTTTTGGGATTCATCAGGTCGGGTTGTGAGTCAAAAGGCTCTAGAGAAACCTGCACCCTCCCCCAGGCGCCATATTGAACAATGTGAGGGATGGTCAAGCACTTGCTTCGCCAGACTGAGCCCGAAAGCTCGTCCTACACAGTAAAGTGGGTCGTCTACACCCCTTGGTGGGTTGTTCTTCACAGAAAGATAGAAAATGACAACAACCAT